TAGGGTGCAATGCAGGGTGGGATGTAGAGTGCGGTGCAGGGTGCAATGCAGGGTGCAAGGTATGGTGCAACATAGGCGGCAATGCAGGGTGCAACATAAAGTGCAATGCGGGGTGCAATATATGGTGCAATATAGGGCGCAATATAAAGTGTAATGTGGGGTGCAATACAGGGTGCAATATAGGGTGCAATGTAGACTGCAATATAAGATTTCTATAGGACACAGGGCTCCATAGGATATAGGTCCCTATAGGCTCCAGGGCTCCATGGGTCCCTATAGGACACAGGGCTCCATAGGGCTCTATAGGATATAGGTCCCTATAGGCTCCAGGGCTCCATGGGGCTCTATGGGACCCAGGGCTCCATAGGGCTCTATAGGCTCCAGGGCTCCATAGGAGGTCCCTATAGGCTCCAGGGCTCCATAGGTCCCTATAGGACCCAGGGCTCCATAGGGCTCCATAGGATATAGGTCCCTATAGGCTCCAGGGGGCTCTATGGGACCCAGGGCTCCATAGGTCCCTATAGGACCCAGGGCTCCATAGGGCTCTATAGGACCCATAGGTCCCTATAGGCTCCAGGGCTCCATAGGTCCCTATAGGACCCAGGGCTCCATAGGAGGTCCCTATAGGACCCAGAGCTCCATAGGTCCCTGTAGGACACAGGGCTCCATAGGGCTCTATAGGACCCATAGGTCCCTATAGGACCCAGGGCGCGGCCCCTCCCTCCTCCCCCACCCCCCTCACGGGGGCGGGGCTGCGCGGCTCCCACCGCCTCCTGCGCATGCGCGCGCCCGAGGCCCCCCCGCCCCGGCACGGGGCGGGGCCTCCCGTGCCCGCCTCGCTCATTGGCCGCCGCCGCGGGGCGCTGCCCATTGGCCGGCGCGGGCCCCGCCCCCGGAAGCGGCAGGATGGCGCGGAGCGGGGTGAGCGCGCGCCGGGCCCCGCGCTGCCCTTTGACCCCCCCGGGCAAGGTCGTGACCTCTGACCCCCCCAGGCGGCGGGAGCCTCAGTCTGACCCCTGACCTCCGACCCCTGACCCCTTCGCTGCCCCCAGGGGCCCGRCGACCCCGGTCCCACCTCGTAAAGGGCCCCATGGGACCTCGGTCCCACCCCCAAAAGGCTCCGGGCGACCCCGGTCCCATCCCCTAAAGGGTCCCCCGACCCCGGTCCCAGCCGCTAAAGGGCCCCATGGGATCCCGGTCCCACCCCCAAAAAGGGTCCCCCGACCCCGGTCCCACCCCATAAAGGG